TCCAAACGTATGCTTTTAATGGTTTCAGACCGAATATTAGGATAATGAGCCACCCTACATAACCGTCACAACCTAATTGGCAAAATGGTCACAGATCAGCAATCCTGTTTGAAATTGTTATGCAGATTTAAAGTTTAGTTTTAAAAAGCAGGTCAATACAAAAATAAACTTCAAATTTAGTGGGGAAATGATATTCTTTATCCTGATATTCATATTTCCCAGAACACACTTTCCAGTGTGATAGCTGAAGAGATCATGTCCTCTGTTTCTCCTCAGCTTTTAATGAAGCTCGCTTCTCGCCTGACAGCAGCTCCAACGTGGAGGAAAAGACCAGCGAGCTTCAGACCATTAGTGAGGTGGAGAATCGAGAAGCATGTATGATATGCGATCTAAAAGCAGCGTCAAGGCTTAAATTGGGATATGGCTATGCAAAGGCAGCTTATATCACAGATGTCCTCACAGATGGCCTGGTGGAACACATCTTAAGTAGAGCGTCAGTAATAAGAATACCAGAATCTGCAATGGTCTGGGTCTACAGTAGTAGAAAGAAACAAGACCCAACTCTCTGAGCAATGCTAGTTGCTTTTGAAGCTGTGATGCATTTATGGGAATTTATAAACCACTTAGGAGAGGCAGCAACGAGACTAACCTTTGGAGAGATAAGAGCGCGGCCTACTTTGTGCCCTACTTTACAGGACTTCCTCACTTACTCATTTGGTTCGTGTTTACTCTGGTCTTGTGAGCACTTTGTTGAGAGTATTTACTTTTTTTTAAAGGAGAAAAGGCCACATAAGAGCCGTCTGTGTCCTGCTGTGTTGCAGAATAAGCACATTACACCAGCCTAAGTCTGTCCTTGGAAACATTTTTCTCACCTTGAAATTCTTCAGTAATTTTTTTTTCTGACTGAGTATTAAACAGCAATTTATGCACATTGCTTTTGGCTTAAGTATGATTTATAGCTACTTTTTATTTTGCTGTATTAATAGAATTGCCTGTGAAGCAATTTGTTGTATGAAGCTTTGACTACTTAGATTTTGGTTCCATTTAAAGGAGGATGTCACACAGTTGGAAGATGCCTTTCTTGCTGTGCACATGTTCTCTTCCACATCTGTGCTCTACGTACTGGCGGTTTGTTGTTTCTTAGATGAAACAACTGCTCAGTGATAAATGGTTATGGTTGGGTTTTAAGTCTCATTTTTCTTTACTGCTTTGGATTCTACCCTGTCGTCAAGGTGTGGTGTTTGAATTATTTCTTGATCCTATGAATCACTAAACATGCAAAATGATTTATTCTTTAGCCTTTGAGCTTTTCTGTTTGTTTTTTTTAGCATTTTCTATTTAAAAAAAAAAATCAGCGCTTGATAACATGAAAAATTAACAGCAGATAAAACAAATTGTTTTAGGTCTAATTTTCAACAAACAAGACATTCAAAGGTATTTTGTTTGTTCAATTAGCTCCTGTTTCCTTTCAAACCAGGTCAATGACATTTGCTGATGCAGAGATATGATTCATTTGCCAACTATGATTGAGTTATTTACAAGGAAACTTACTTTATTCCCTGAAAATGGTCCAGGAATAGCTTCACATGAACTGGGAACATGACGGGAGCAATGCTTCAAAGGTTATGTTCATAATATACACAATGTGTATATTAGGAGTGTTATTGGAAACTGTGATCTACTTAGGGAACCCATGTGTGTTCCTTTTTGTTGGGCCATGCATGAATGATTCATCAATCTCGAGGCATCAGCTGGCATTTGGGTTGGGAATCTGTTTAGTAACTGATTACTGTGGCTGCTCTGATAGGACTGTCGCAGGATGAATAAATGTAGCGATACGTTTGAGACAAATACAGTTTAAAATGCAACGCTACATGACATTTTCTGATTGTATGCAAGCTGTGAGGGAGAGAAAGAGAGCTTATGAATTGTTTCATTTTGCCAGGTTGTGCTTCAAGAAATGTTTAAGTATATTAAAATATCAATTCTAGAAATCCCCCTTGACTCTTTCTGCTTATCAAGTGACCTCATATGGGGCCCAGACCCCAAAACATGAGAAACTATTCTGTGAAAGACAACAAATCTGTGCAGAACAGTACACCCAATACAGGCCTGGTGATAAATAATACAGCTGCTTAAAGTATCATAAATGATAAACATCACTTCAGAATGATGCTTGACTGAACAAGGATGTTCCATTTGGCAAATAAGCGCTGCATCAATTCCTTCATCCTCCCATCCTCCCTTTTGTCATCAAAAGAGATGTGTGTGTGTGTGTGTGTGATTGAAGTGAGGATGCACACACTGGGATTGAGAGGAGGCCAACAGGTATGAGTCTTGATGTAGCAAACACATAATCCCCTCATCTGACCGTGGATCTTCAAGTTTCTGAAGCTTTTAATGCCATCCACCTCTCACCATCATCCCTGGAGGATCTGGGTGAGATTAAAAGCAGGATTGCTGTTTGACATTTAAAGGACCAGCGTGTCGGATTCAGAGGCGTCTTGCGGTGAAGTCGCAGATTGCAACCAACTGAATACCCCTTTGCTGGAAGGGACAAACAAACCCGGGACTTTTACTCAGGGGACCTGCGTTGGTGTCCAGTGCGAAACCAAAAAAAGGGACTTTTACTGACTACGTTATGTCATGTGACGCTATAGGTCACTGAGTCACATGATGTTAAGTCTGAAGTTTAGGTTACGTTACAAGCGCACTTATTTTTTTCTAACTTAAGTGGTTGCGTTGCCTAAACCCAACCGCCACCATTTCACAACGTTAACCACGTGCAAACCCGCAGCGTTGAATACTGTGCAAAAAGGCTTCCCCTGGTGACAAGGCCCCTTAGAGTGACAAGTATAGGGATCATAGAACTTTCTAATAATAGAGGAAGTAAGAAACATAGATGCCCAGGGCAGGCTTGTGTATTTGTTGCGGCCATCCCCCTGTCATGAGGAAGACATTTGACTCAGAACTGTCAAAGTGAATATCGAAGAGACTGCTGGTAGTCATCAGTCATCCATCAAACTGATTATCAAGAATGTCACTTCTGAGCATAACTGCTGCCTTGGCACCCCAAATTTAGGAATCCTTCCAAATACAACACTCTGAGAAATACAAATATGTGGAGGGGTTTTTAGTCTCAGATCCACAAACTAACTACAGATGGCATCAAAATTAAACTGCATCAACTAAGTATAAAAGGCATAAAAAAGTATGATGTTATTGCATGAATATAACTTTCCCAAAGAATCTTGATATAAAATATACTGACAGGATGCGTTAGAGCCATTTATATAATGGATGAATTAATTTAGTTTTATTTGCTTACCGTGGTTATAGTGCATAATATTGCTTTTTGGGTTTTGCTGCCATTTCAGTAAACGATTGACGCAAAGAACATGGACTAAAGAGTTTCAGCACGTGTTAACCATATACTCGTACTCCCAGGCTTAAGTGGGCATTTTCAAGAAAAATATGGAGCCACACTAACAGGATTGCCTTCAACTTAAGAATGAACATAATGTTCTCCTTGTGCCCCAGGACAGTTCAGTCTGTTCCCAGCATGCACAAAAGAAATGAGCCGTCATGGCTCTAGAATACAAATCATTCGCTGTGAACTTTATAGTCTGTGAACACATTTTTATATTTGTTATTTTAAAGGACGGGCAATTAGTAGTAACTATTAAATGCTCCACATTATTGTACAATTGTTGTGCAATTATCTATGTTTATTGCATCCGTTCCTGTCAAATAAACAATAAATGAAAGTAGAAAAGACGATCTGAAAAAGAGAGAAAATATGCCAAAGTGCCAGCACTCTACATATTCAGAGGTCGGAGGTGATGATGAGCGGCATCTCAGAGGCTCCAGCTGAACAGATGGTCTTCAAGCTTGCCCTTCAATTTTCAGCTCTGCTGAGTCAGCCAACTGCCGCTCCATGGCATGTTAAACTGCTCTCATTTTACCTCGTCTTTGTGTAGACAGGGTCATTATTTGGGTAGATTGCTCAAGTCAACAGTGAAGTGTGATGCCAACAGTCGTCCTGCACTCAGAGGGCAGAACACGAGCGGTGATGGTTCCTTAATGGGTGCAGCAATGACATGGCTGGAGGACTTTTTTCTGTCTTAGAGACAGCTATTGAGACCCTCTGTGTGTCTGATTCAGTACAGTCCTACTTATTTGTCTGTGTGTCATCTTGACTCCACTTTATCACTCTGAGCATTCACGCATTGACTGACTGAGTGTCCAACTCCCTACCTCTGATTGCTCGAGTGTCTGTCGTGGCTCAGGAAATATCCACAGACTCCAATCTATCGGTTGCTGTGGACTCTCTTATGAGGACTGAAACATCTAGCAGCTTCTCTCTGCCAGACTAACTGCTGACTGATATATAAGCTTTGCCAGTAGACAGACTGATAAAGTCGGAGGCTCGCAAAGGAACACTTCTTCACAGACGACAACCGAGCTATTCATCTTCTGCTGCTGATTTTTCTGTGCCTTGTCTGTCACAACAAGCTGTGCTCACAGCTAACTAGTTTGAATAGAGGGAGAAAAAAAACCAATCTGCTGACAATATGTGGCCTCTTCCATTTTAAAGTTATAGTTTGTGGAATATTTCTGCACAGTTGTTGTTGTAATACAATTTCAGTGATACGGGATGTCATTATCTTATACATCCAACATAATAAAATAAGAATGAATTTTTGAATTTTGTACTTTGAATGTTGATGGGTTAATTGTTATAACCAAGACATAAATGTCGAACTCGCTCTGGTTCCAGCGCCTCGATATGGGATAATTTACTGGTTTTGGGTCTTTTTATGTGATTGTAAATTGAAAACATGATTCCCATGAGAATTTTTTTTAAAGATCAAGGGCTGATTATTAGGACTTTACGATCTAGAGGCCACACACTTATGTTACACCCTTATAATTAGTATTATTTCTAGTAATTTCTGTACTGATGTAGGCCTGTTCTTGTGTTGTACTCCGTGTTTCAGATGATGGCAAGCTGTCATTTGAGGAGTTCAATACTTACTTTGCGGATGGAATCCTGACTACCGAGGAGCTGCAGGAGCTTTTCTTCTCCATAGATGGCCGACAAAATAAGTGAGTTTTTGTTATTCAAAATGAGCTCTGATTTCAATGCCTCATGGTGAAAAATGACTAATAGTTGTTTTGTGCTTTTATTTCTACAAGTGCTATATTAAATGTGTGCCTTTCACAGTTAGAAAGAAGCAGAAAAAAAGACTGAACAGCAAGTGTCTGAGGCTCAAAGCCACAGTTAATGTGTTCCTTTCAAGTCATCAGTTACAGGCTGAATGTCTCACAGCTGGAGGGAGTCTTCAGTAAAAAATGAGCCCTGCAGCCAAACTCAAGCAGGCTGAATGAATGTTTACCCCCTTCCTTTGGACATAAAATACTGTGGACTGTACCAGCCACTTTAAAACCTACTCGCCTGCAATTGCAATCAGAGAAATGCGCCCAAGGGTTGCTGCTGAAATCACTGGTCTGCAGAGAATGTTTAACTCACTGCAGCCACAGAGGAAAAGACCATTTCTCTCCTGTCGTGGTATAAGTGATGCTTGCTATCCTTTCTTTAAAGTCAGTTCTTCTGTCATCTTTGGGAGATTCAAGATTTGTATTCATTTGCAACCTTTTTTTTCTTCATCATATGCTTCTTTATATGGCCCAATGCTGAAAGACTAAGCCAGACTTTGTAACTGTCAAATCCTTTGTGTGTCAGCTCAGGTGAAATAATAAATTCACTGTGATTGTCAAGTCTCTGTGTTGGTCTCACAGGATGGCACTTGCCAGCATAAACAAACCCACGCACCAGCACATTGAGATGCATCGATTAGCTTACTTTGTATGTTTTTCTTTTGTACGCCTAACCAATTAGAGTGAGGATAGTGTCTGGCTACAATAACAACTCTGCTTTTAATGCTTTTAATGTTTTGTTGTGGCGCCAGTTCTTCCATCACTGTGTGATAAATCGCTTTTGGACATGCTGTTACGCTGGGACCGATGGGACACACCGGCCCTCGGACCTCTGTGACCACGCTCCAAGCTTTGAGGCAATTGGCATGAACAGAGCTCTGATGCCTAATTAAAGGACATTCTTGTGCTGAATACCTGTACTTTTAATTATATAATATCACTTCTGAGACAAAAAAAAGTCATATAGCACAGACAATATACCCCTCTCCATTGAAAATATATTGTCTGTGCTCATTGTAATGATAGCCTGCAACAGAGATGTGTGGACACTCATTACTGTCAAAATGGAAATTTACAACCGAAAAAAAAAACAAGCATTTGCTGTGTGAGCTTTCTAATAACACAAGCCGTTGCACTGCTTCACTTATCGTCTGCATCTGATAGGGAAAATAACCCGTACATGTAGACATGGTAGACAAAGACATGGTAGACAAAGGATGTGTCGATCTCAATGTTTTTATGACAGTGGAGTGAGTTCAAAAGAAGATGCAATTTGTTGATATATGGCTTTCGCGTTTTCAGAAAAAGTTAAATTTTTTGTTTTTATATAATGGAGAAAAATCTCTAGGCCACAGACACCAAGTTCAAAATACTGCAAATATATAAATAGGATAATACTTTCATCAATGGCAATAGATAGTGACTTAACAGATATTTATTTCAATACAAATCTTCGAGATTGCTTTAACATGCAGTCTTTCTATCAAGAACACATATTCTAAGCTGTTCATATTACACACTTTTCTGTGTCCTTCTTGGGCTAATATTGTAACATTCACACAGTTTGGAGCCACACAGTTTATCTAGCAGACTTTGAATTTCCCTAATTCATTTTCTCAATACCTTTATCTCCTCTTGTGTTACAGCAATCTGGATACTGACAAGCTATCAGGTTGGTGGGAAGTGCTTTGTCTGATTAATAAGTTGTCGTTGTACTTTAATTTCTGTAAAACTGCTCTCTTTAAAATTCGCCAATATCAGTGATTTTTGTCTTATTGCGGGTCCATATGAGCATGGAAAAACTTTAAAGCAATACTTTCACATTTTGGGAAATGCGCTTATTAAAAGCTTTCTTGCGAAGAGCTTGATGAGAAGATCGACTGTAGAATGTTAGATTAGCTTAGCATAAATACTGGAAACAGATGGGGACGGCTCAACAGTGCAATGCGTTGTTCTCACACTTGACTTTTGCGCGAATTAAACAAATGAGACACCCATCCATCCATCCATCCATCCATCCATCCATCCATCCACTATCCGGAACCGCTTATCCTTTTCACGGTCGCTGAAGCCGTTCCCAGCTGAAATTGGGCGAAGGCAGCTTACACCCTGGACAGGTCCCAGACTAACGCAGGGCCAAATGAGACATGACGTGTATTTGTAAGTTTTAGAGTCGGGTTACACTATCGTCGAAAGCTGATCAGAATGGCCACACTCAAAGGACGACATAAGCCATCAATAGAGATATGGGAGATATCGGAAAGGTGTCAGGAGGGGAGGTTTCCGAAGCTTGAAGCGTGAAAACTAAAGGTAAACATTAACCTTTCGGTCACACGAGTCGCTAGTCACATGATTCACGTAAGTGGTTTGTCACGTAACTCAAAGTCACGTAAATTGTAAGTCAGTCAAGTTAACGTCAATCGCACTCTTTCCAAACCAAACTTAGTGGTTTTGTTGCCTAACCTAACTTCTGAAAACAGGAGTTAATTTTGGGAAGACAGTCACGTCACAAGCATATGCTGACGGCAGAGGGGTACGTAGAGCATAATAGTTTGAAGCTTATAGGGCCACTGACCAAGCTGCGGTATTTGATGCATTGGGGTGAGAATGTGTTGCACAGACACAAGAGTGGTATCACTTGTCTCATTCAACTCCTCTCTTCTTCTCTGCTTTTAGATATTTCGGGAGTTGAAAAAGTACTATAATATACTGCAACCAACAACACCACCACCACCACCAGCCACAGCTCTGATTTTAATCCGTTAATCTGAAGAAAAAAGAAATGGCACAGATCTATTGACCTATTTTTTAGCAACTTAAAAATGCATGTGAGTGTCAGATGGCCTGAATGAAGCGAAGAAATGGGGCAGAGACCCGTTAATACCAATAGTACCGAGAATAAAACCTCTGCATAATTTATTGAATGGAAATGGCATCTTTTCCATCTGACGTCAATAGAAGTTGACTGTTTTCCATGACGGAATCTTCCGCTTGTCTCATATTTAGTCCACTAGTCGTGGCGTGGTCTTCTTCTTTTGACCGAGTGATTCTAAGAGGAGTTAAATTCAGGTGGATAGCTTCATTGAATCTGAGTGAGAGCAGTGTAAAAGGTGCTGCTGATCCATTAACCTTGGATATGTGTGTCATATTGAGTGCACTCTTTGGTTGTGGTAAAATTAGGTTTTTAATTAAGAACTATCTAAGATCTAAGTCGTTCTCTGCTTTCCTGGTTTGGTTTTAAGCACTTTCACCACACAGTTACTTTGATTATTTAAATAAATATTAATAATAATGACATGTGGAGGAGTTTCTTTATCAGTTGTTTATTTTTGGTATCAAATGAATCCTTAAAGCTCCTCTCACCAACTGTACGTGGCCGAGCTACTGTCATAACACTCGATGATTAATATGATGGTTAATCAAACACAGTATCCACTTCATGGGGAGCATTGAGAGTTAATGACACATAGGCATGTGAACATCAAATACTTCCAACTCAACTTGTTAATTAAACTAAAGATGGCTATTTTTACCCATGTCTACGACAGCCTCGCTGCCTTTGTCATGGCCTTCTTTTAATTGGAATCCGTCATGGCAACATATAAGAGTTTGTCTCCAAACTGTCATGACTGTTCTGACATTACAATGACACTGACAGCTTGTTTTCTGTCTCCTATTAGAGTATTTCTCTGAGCACCTGGGGGAGTATCTCAATGTACTTTCATCTCTGGAGAGCCTGAATGTTGCCATTTTGAAGGCAATGGATAAAACTAAAGAGGTAAGTTTTTTTTTTTTAGTTTTATAGGAATTTGCTTAAAATCAAGCTTCTGTAGTACAAAAGCACACATGCACAAAGTCGGGGGTCTCTGTTACAAATATGCTTAGTTTTGTGCTGAGAGGAAACACTGACGCGCACAGATGGAGCCAATGCTGCGCCAAGTTTCCCAAAAGTGATGAGTTAACAAAAGAGGAATAAAAAACACTTCAGTCACACACACTTCCATTACATTACCAGTATATTATGCTTGATTTTACAGGAATAGTCCAACATTGTGGGAAATATGCAAATTCAGTTTCTTGCCGAGAGTTACAGGAGATTCCACAGCTGGCCTCGCTCTGTCCAATGGTAAAGAAATCTGCCTATCTATTACCTATCTTGTTCCTTTACATACGAGACATAACGTGTTATTAAGTAGCTGCTGTCTCCCACTGTTTGCAGATGTTGTGCTAAGCTAAGCTAACAGTCTGTTGGTGGTAGTCTCTGCTGTACAGTTAAGAGAGTGGTATCAATCTTCTTATCTAACTCTCGGCGAGAAGGTAAATAGGCATATTTCCCAAAATGTAGGACTATTCCTACAAGAGTCATTGGATAAGTCTTAGTAGGATAAAGATAAAGAACGTGTGTCACAGTTGGTCCAAAAAGTGAGGTATTCTTTGAAATGTTATCTCTCAGATTTTTGCTAATGTTGGTTTGCTGATAGTGTTGGAGAGACTTGCCAGCTCTGGATTTTGACATTATATGAATTTGAATCATGTTGCTACTGGAGAAAACTATTCAATTGATATTCCAGTGTGGTTAAAACTCTAAAGAAGCCTAATATCTTGCTTCCCAGTAAATACATCATTTAGTTTTTAAATTGCCTGGGGGCTTTTTTTAAGGTAACAGCTTTGAATCAAGGATTTCAATCGTAATACCACAGGAAACAAAGCAATGCTTGTTAAACGAGAAGAGGAGAGGAGATGAGTGCTGAATAATTATGCATCCCCTCTTAATTAGATCACCTTGTTCCTCTGTTCTGGCTCTTTTTTAAAGCTGTCAGTTTGGGGAAATCCATAGAGCATTCTGCAAACGCTAGTTAGCAGCTGTGCTCTGGATCATAATCACATGATGCATTTTCAGTTGAGGCTGCTCATTATAAGTTTGAACAAAGAGCTAATGCAATGTTACTTCATCAGCACATTGCTTGAATAAGACTCCTTTTAGAGTGCGTAATCACGTTTGTGTTTGGGGAATCGAGGGAATTCCACCTTGGAATTTGGATGTGTGGTAATAATTAATGCGTTCAGATAAATAATTAGTCCATTTAATTGCAGCTGTTACACATTTCACAAGTAGGTCTACCTGTTGTTGTTTTGGAGAAGCTACCAAATTCTCTCTCTCTCCCCCCCCCCATCTCTGTGGTCTGTCTTGTCTCTGACATGCTTTTACATTCTTGTTGCTTCTGTTTGAGCATCATGTGCTTTAACCTCTCCTTCTGTGTGTCTCTCAGGAGTACCAGGGTTCCAGTGTGTTGGGCCAGTTTGTCACCAGGTTCATGCTAAGAGAGACGTCCAGCCAGCTACAGTCCCTACAGAGGTCCCTGCAGTGTGCCATGGAGGCTGTGGAAGAGCAGAGCAGCCCTGCCCCGTCAGTACTGCAATATGACACGTCTGTACTGTGCGTTACATATACAGATTACACGATATTATCTATACTACACTATGGTCTTCAACGATACTCACCCTAATGAAGGCCTTAATAAAGAGGATTGACATAAAGAAGATTTTTCAAGTTAGCTGACAAGATTCTGATTGGCTATCAGGTCTCTAGGTTACAATAATGAACCAAGACAAAATAAGACCTGTGTGTACATTCAATGCCAAAGCAGGAAGTAATGTGATGTTAATTGTGTTTTCCTGTAACCATGAAGGTGCTTCAACTTCAACAAACCTCAACAAAAGACCACGTCCGTTCTCGTAAACCCAAATTTTACTTTATAATACCCATTGGGGATTAAGTAGACCAGAAAACATCTGAGTGTGGCAACTACACAATAAAACCTCTTGTTTTTTTATTGTCATTTATTTAACAAGAAAGGTCCTATTGAGATTCAATATCCCTTCTGCCAGGGAATCCTGCTCAAGATGGGCAGCAAGAAAAAGGTTTTATGTTGGATGACATACCAAAACACAACAAGAAAAACAACTCAGGAATCGGAGGCTAAAATACATTGTTTCTTAAAATATTTCTAAACATGAAAAGAGAGGGTAAAGATTTACCCAGCTCTGTTTGAATGATTGGGATGGCGAGGAGAATTTTCTTTTTGTTCCCTAATGTTGTGGCACCTGGAGTAATGTGTTTTAAAACAGGATATATATTCAAGTATCATTTTTCGTTGTTTTCCATGAAGTATAAAAATAAAAACATGAGGAAATGGCACTCTACATACGGCATGTAACACTGTAAGCAGTAGCTAAGACACAACACGGTGTCCACATACACAAAAACGATGGAGGTGAAGAACGCCAAAGGTTCCATGCTGATGTCTAAGGACGGATGGAGAGAATGGTCAATTAGTTTGAATTACTTATATGGAAATCATCCATAGCTTTGCCAGACCACTATCAGCACAGCAAAACACTTTGCTAAATATACTCTACTTTGTTCCTCTACCATGCTATCAAAAGCATTGCCGGAAAGCAGCCCTATAAAGCATAGCAGCACCACGACTATGCTGTTAAAAAGGAAAATGTTGTCAGTGAAGTCAGTCTCGGTCTAAGCAGAAAGGAATTCCAACTAATCAGTGCTCCCAGAAGCCTTTTGTTTACATTCTCACAGTAATTCAAACAGTCGCCTCACTAATAGGCAGACTGCTTGAAATTCAATATTTCTGTCAGAGAGCCTCACTTTCAAGAAATGTAAATGGAGCTCATGCAAAAAAACAACAGATCTAAATTGCTGCCACCAATTTGGGATTTGGTAAACCACTGCGCGAAGGGACACAGTCCCTGTGGGAACTATAAAAAAACATGCGCTTTATACTTTTCTCTATACGTTGTGGTTCATCAAAGACCTCGGCATTGGCCCCCGCATTTCTTTGATGCATCACCTATTAAAGAAATTCAATGCAGAAGATGCTCAGAGGAGCAATCCGTCAAGGACCTTTTGATGAGTAGAAATCTATCTCACCACAAGTCAATACCATGACCAGTGGCTTTCACACACTTTCAAATGACTGTTGACTATTTTGAATAACAAAGATGCTTCCTCCACTTTCTGCAGCCACCCAATTTGCTTAACTTGCAGCTGAGGTTGTCTGTTCCGCTGCGTGTGTCTCTCTCCCCTCTGGGTGCCACACTGGTATTATTATTGGAAATAATGGACTGAATGTAGCCAAGGTGAATTATTGAGATGGGACTGGGGGAGGCAGAGGGGGAGCAGAATGTGAAAGGATGATACAGAACAAGTGAGTCATAGAGAAAGCAAGATGAATACAAAAATTAAATGAATGTCTGATATAAATGGAGAGAGAGAGAGAGAGAGAGAGAGAGAGAGAGAGAGAGAGAGAGAGAG